CTTCTATGGTCCCTAGTAGAGAATCGTTAATATAAGTCTCAGGTATTTCTTACTAAATTTATTTGTGTATTTTGTTTGATTTTGCTGTCATGGAATATTTCCCCTACTTATTTCTATTTATTGTTGGTAACTAGAATAGATTTTGTATTTATTTAGTTACTAGCCTCTTTACTAAATTCCTTTTTATTTCTAACAGTTTCCCAATAGATTTTCTTGAATTTATTAGGTATGTAATGATGGCATTTGCCCCAAACAAACAAGAGAGAGAATTGTGCGTCAGTATTTTGAATAATTATATCTCTTATTCCTTTTTGTTGTTGTTGTTTTGGCCATATTACATTAACAAGAACTTCTAGATCAAACTTATATAGTTGTGGTTCTCATCCTGATAACCCATAATGAAAAGGGTATACTTGACTGAGCTGAGGAAACAAACCATGAGGAATCTGGGCAAAGAGATTTCCAGGCAGAGGAAACAGAGAGGGTGCAAAGGCCTTAAAGAGAAAGTGTGCCTAGTGTGTCCCAGGAACAGCGAGGAGGCCCGGTCCATGGGGCTGGAAGGAGGTGAGTGAGGCAGAGACTGACTGGAGATGGGAATGGGCGGTGTAGGTCCCGGAAAGCCTCAGGAGCCATTATAATTAATGACAAGTGTTTCCTAATATTGAAACTTCCTTGCTTACTGTATTAGGATTACTATGTCAAAGTGAGTTATTCTTTAAGCTTTTCATCTGTGGTTTAAAAAAGTATTTATAAAAATAGATCTATTTTTTAAAAACCTTAACATCTGTTATCAATCAATACAATATTCACTGGCGTACTCCACTGTTTAAAATGTCTTTTTATCATAATTGTAACAGCCACGTTATTTTCCCCAATTGTTATGATTTTAGGAAGGTGAAGTCTCCTACATAACTCTTTGTTTTTTTTTATGTAAAGTTGCCTATTATGCTATTGGGCAGAGCATTTAATCAGCAAAATGTCAGTTCCTCAAGGCTGAGATTATTTTTAACAGCAGCAACCATAACAAAGAGTAGCTCTGTACTTTGCATACTTGGACCCAAACGTTAATTTAAAATCCTCAGTCATTTTCAATTTTTAAGTTCTTCTGGTAGAAAAATACCTAAAGGCACCCAGGCAGCAAGAATAGTGAAAAGTCACAAATCATGCCTTTGCTGAAAACTGACCTAGTTGACCAGATAAGTCAGCTCACTGGGAAAAGTATAAGCTCCATTAAAAAATCAAATATCCCAGGAGGAATAAAACAGGGAAAGGAAAAAACAATCTTTATTGCTGAGAGAAGCAGAATTAACCAGGGAGTTGACACTGCTATAAATTAAAATTTTCCAAAGCAGCAATATTTTCTGACAAAGCTTGGCTATTTGATTCTAGAATGTAACTTTTAAGGATATACACAAATATTTTTTTCTTCGTTTCTAGTCAGAGGACAGGGAGAAATGAGAAAGAAAAATTTGTATTACTGCCATTAGGGACTTCCCACCCTTTTCTTTATATTGTTCATAGCCTCTTGGGACCTTTGAATAACTCAAGAGACAGAATTAATTGTTTTTAAAGTTTTTATTTATCATAAAATAAATAGTTCAAGCTACTATGGATATGATAGTGCCTCAATTCAAAACTGGCTCAGAGAAAGATATTTAGAAATATTTTTTATGTCATGATTTAATCTCTCATGTAGTATCTTCCCAATTCTGATTCCCACTCATCACCTTTGTAACAGAAGAGAGGTGGGAGAGATTTCTGATGATTATTCATCTTTCGATCCCATCGATATGTTCAGGGTTATATTTGGAATAGTTACTTAAATTTTACACAGCAGCAGGTCTGGTTTTCAAACCACAGGAACAGAAAAATAACTTAAGAAATTAGTTGGGACAACAGAAAGAACAAAAGGAACAACCCAAAGCATTCTACATATAGGTAACTATGAAAAGCTATTCTATTTCTGAAGAGTTGATAACTTAACACTTGGCAGAGAGGAACTGGAAAGATCCAAAAGTTTTTTGTCCCTTTAGTTCCATCAAACTGTGAAGATTCTATATTAATAATACTAGGCCTCATTTACTTTCTGCAACTTTAATCTACCGATGTCTTCAACAATGTGAATCAGCATATTGTAGGCATCTATTCTTGTTCTTCCTGTTTTTAGCTTTCCCAAACTCCTGTCCCATTCTCTATCATGCTATTTCCCCTACGCTCCAAGACTTTCTTGTATTAAATGTTTTTTTTTAATCATAGATCCTAAGTAAATTTAAAAATTAGTGTATAACTGTAATCTTTCTTCAGTTATTGACTCTCTGGGACTTTTTAGATCTTGATTAAAAGAGGAAAGTATGGACCAGGTGTCATGGCTCACGCCTGTTAATCCTAGCATTTTGAGAGGCTGAGGCAGGAGAATCGATTGCTTGAGGCCAGGGATTAGAGACCAGCCTGAGCAACATAGTGAGACCCCCATCTCTATGAACAATAAGAAAAAAAAAATTAGCCAGGTGTAGTGGCATGCACCTGGAGTCCCTGCTACTGGGGAGGCCAAGGCAGGAGGATCACTTGAGCCCAGGAGTTTGAGGTTCCAGTGAACTACGATGATGCCACTGCACTCTAGCCTGGGCAACAGAGCTAGACTTTGTCTCAGAAAAAAAAAAAAAGGAAAATATGGAAGTATAAGATAAAGACAAAAGGTAAGGTAGAAAGTGAGAATGAAGAGGATAGAGTCAAAATAATAAAAATAAGCAGAGAAGACCTCAAAATAGATAATTTGCATGGAATTTTAGGACGAGGAAGATTATAAAAATACTCTTTTTATAAATCTTTAGAACAGCTGTCTACTTTTTAGTTTTTGGTATATAGTTTTCAATTTTTAGTTTATGGTAAAATATTCCAGTTAAGTGCCAATATGTCACATAGCTCTTTTTAATATTTGTTATTCTCCTATTTAAGAAAAAGGACATGGCTCAGTGGTAATTTTAGCCCTTAGTTGTTGTTAACTGAGACAGAGAACCTTAATTTCTGAGTCTTTAACATAAAACTTTTCTGAATTTGAATAATAAATTTGCTTAAGGCTCATTTAAACTTTTCTTAGTTTGATAAGTAATATTTTCTTCACTTTTGGCTTTTGACTTGGGTCTTTTTATAACAGATCAGTGGTAGAAACAGAATTCAGGAATTTTGATTCTGAAGGGCATAGTACTTGAAATATCTTTGTAGATTAAATCAGAGTTTATCCAGACCAATATTTGATCTCTAGAGCATTTTTGTGAGCATTCCTGATTACTGTCCACAGTAGCAACTCTCAGAATTAGGTATATACTGCAAGCAACCTTCTCAGTAAGCTGTGATGGATCCAGTATTTGATAATTTTTCCAAATGTTTTTTAAATTTATATACTTTCCACTTATACTATTATCAGTGACTAAAGTCCCTTTTTAGCTCCAGAATTACCTTTTCATTACTTTGAAATAGTTCTAATATTTCCAGAGTAACATTATGATTTAGAAGAGAGGAAGTCAGAAGAACTGGGTTTTAGTCCTGGGGTTGCTCCTATTATATTAATAGTTATATAACCTTTGTTAAGATATTTGACTTCTATGGACTTAATTTTATTCTTATTTATATAGGCAATACTGAATAGCCCTGAAGTATTTTCTTATTCTAAGTAACTGTGGCACAATTCATGATCATACTCTTGTTTGCCCTTGTTATCAATTTCTATATGATTTTATAGATTTGGCCATATGTTTTCTAATTTCTGACTTCTCAGACAGTAAAATAGCTATTCTCCCTTTCCCCAACTTTTAAAATATTATTTCACTTCCTTTGGTCATGTAAATTGTATCTCTCTAATCTTTCTCTATTGTTGTCTTTCTTAAAATAGGGTTGATGAGAACAGCATCAAGCACTAACTAAAGGTATGGGTAGATAGTCTATGATCTTATAAAGATGTAAGATCACATTTTCTGTTTTATTTTGGCTACTTTTTTTTAATGCCAATATTTCTAGGACTTTTTAGCTATAATATTTCAAACTGTCTTTTAAGGCAACCCTTTGCCTCTGGACTAGACTATATCTAAGCTCTTTACTATTCAATATCTTCTGGGACAGAGATTTCACAACCTGTCTCTCACCTTGAGGAAGTTTCTTATAACTAACATAAATCTTGCTTTCTGCAATTTAACTTGAATTTATATCCTTTTTCTTTTTTCTGCAGAGATGGGAACAGCCCCAAACTGGAAGTGATGCTTTCTTATGAGGACCAATACTAAACATAGTAGAAAGATTACAGTATTTCCAGTCCAGCATCATTTTTAGTTTGTATATATTAAAGCTTCCTGACTTTTGTTTCAATATTCATGTCTCAGGAGATACTATAAAATAACAGTTACATGTCTAATATTAATGTTTATTATATATTTTGCTATTTAGAACCAAATAAGGTACTAAAATTTAAAAAAAATGAATTCTCAAACCCCATCTGAGGACTTTAGCAGACTTATATTTTATTTGATATAAGTATAGTCATGGGACTGAGGTTTTGCCTATGCTTTGTAGATTTTATCTCATTATTTTATTAGTCACATTGTGTACATGATTTATTCATACATATCCTCCTTTTAAGTTGTGAGAATAGAAACCTATTCTTTAAAACAAGCTGTCTTGAAGTGGATTTCAGTGTGTGCACTCTGTAAGCCTTAGTACCTAAGCTAAGAACTGTGCTAAGTATGGAGAAGTAGAAGAAAACACATTCTCAGCCCTTGAAGAAGCTGTAGTCTTACTGGGGGAAGAGCTTATAAAATTATAATCATAAAGTACTTATAAAATAATATAAGGTAGTACATATAAAATAAGATATTTAATGTGAATTTTGTATTTTAAAGATAAATACAGAAAATGTTTTATACTATACAAATCTCTCCTATTAACTAAGTACCCTAAAATGCCTAATTAATTGTTTTATTCTGATTTCTGGTGGTTTTTTTACTTTGAAGGTTCAGCAGTTTTCTGAAAAATCCTTCTTCTTACACCTTTTGAAAATTCATGAAAATGCTTTAGAAAGACAATTCAGTGAAATTACAAATGAAAGGAATATGCTTCTCCAAACCTTTGTAAGTCTCCGGCCACTTAGAAAAATCTATTTTATTAACTGTGTCAAAAGTATTTAGATATACTTAGGTGTACTTTTAGAAAATTATCCATATGCATATTGGCAGATAGTACTTTTCAGATACAGAAAAGTAATAAGTGCTATTTAAAACCAGTTGGTAGAGTAATATAGTTTGAAAGAATTCTACTGGCAGGGATGCAATATAGAAATTATTTGCAATTATAATAAGCACAAAAGAAATAGTGAAACTGATTTGAATTGCTCAGGCTTTAAGACCTTGGTTTTAATGTTTTTGAAAGGCAGAGAGGTTGACACATTAGGCATATTTATGGATGTGGGTAAAAGCATGGATTTTGTTTATCTTTTTATCTTAGTCAGAGCCAACAGTCTGAACAGTAGTTTTGAATGACAGGGCCAGTTTAGAAATATTAATTGACATTTTAAAGAAAATACATTTAAAAATATTGAAATACATATCAAAAGTCAGAACCAACAGATTGGGTGGTTTTGAATGACATGGCCAGTTTCAAAATGTGGTTCAAAATTCATTGACATCTCTTAGAAAAAAAGTATTGTCCATAGTTTTAGAAATTCTTATTTCCATGTAATGTTGATATTTCATAAAATGTAAACTATCATTCAGAACTGATTTTGAAATGCATATATAATTTTACCTTCATTGTCTATATTTTAAAAGGTCTTCTTAGATATTCTTATTTGTTTGTTTCCTGTAAAGCAGTAATTCCATTAAGTGTAGATTTTAATTTTTAAGTTTGGTCATTTAATTATTTTACCATCTAATTTTATATTGCAATGACAAAATGGCATATATGATTATGAAGTTTAATATACAAATAAACACAGATATAATGATGATTGGTAGGATCTCTAGCTCAATAATTCTCCCAAAACTTTAAGTATATATCTTTCATCTGAAGATAGCTGCTTGTTAATATATAATAGCTTCAGAGTTTTTTCATATTACTAGAAGAAAAAGGCATTTTTTTCAATAATGTCAGGAAGTATAATTTTATACTTTCATTGTTAATAATTCCAAATATTTATATTTTAAATCATTAAAGAAAAATATTATTGCAACTAACACCTATATTTCATCTTTTCTGTTTTTTAGGAGGCTACAAAGAAAAAAGTAATGGAGGAGGAGGAAAAATTTATGAAAGAAATTACAGACTTCAATAATGAGTATGAAATAACAAAGAAAAGAGAACTTTTGATGAAAGAAAATGTCAAGATCGAAATATCTAACTTAGAAAACCAGGCAAACATTTTGAAAATGGGTATGGGTATGAATACATAGTACCACCTCATTTGTCTTGCATTAATGAAATAACTTACTTTGAATGAATCAATTTTTGAGAAATTTAACTTTTTCATAAGCAAACTGGATTATTATATAGCTATCCTTTTACTTTTATCTTAATTATCCTAATGGATATGTATCTTTTATTGTGAGCAGTCTTAAATGCTTTAGAAGTACATGTGACATGAGCATTTGGTCATTCATTCAGTAAACAAATACCTGTTATGTGATGGGCACTGGTCTAGGTCCTGGGGATATAAAAGTAAAAAGTGCAGGAATTAAATCTGTAAGCAAATATTTACAGTACAATGTGATGGAAACTACTATATGTGTTAGGACTGGTGCTATAATCCTCATTTTACCATCAATCCAATATAAGCTAGGACATAAGGTTACACAGTGAGGTGGGGAGAGTTTTATTTCAGAAACACTAGTAGGCGGGTTATTGTAATCTATGATAAGATCCTGAATTAAAGCAGTTGCCAAAGAGAGGAGGGGGTGAATTAAAGAGATGATTAGGAAGAATGACAGGACTTTGCTACTATTTAATGTGGACAGAAATAGGGAAAGTCAAGGATAAATCACAGTTTTCAAACTTCAGAGATTCTATTATAGCATTAGCTTAAAGTTCAGTATCTTTTCACCTAAATCAGGTTCAGTTGCAATGACACTCCTTAATTGTGGTTTCTTATGTAATTCCTTCAGTAAAGTTCCTCTTGATCTGAAGACCTCAGACCAAAGAAACTAGTTATTTGCCCCTCACATGCCCAGTATACTGTGGTGAGATAAGCATAAGATAATCGCTAGAGACACTTCTGTTCAGAAAGCAGAAACACAGGAGTCATTGTTCCATAGCAGTTCTGAAATTGAGCCAGGCAAATATTGGGAATTCCTTGATAAGACTCAGTCATCCTCCTTGCTGGGAATGATTCTCCATTGTTCTTGGTTCCACCCCCTGTGCTCTTGTTTTCCTTCTCTGAGTTATTCCTTTTTTGTAAAAGATAGCCTGTGTTCACAGCTGCTAGTTTTCTCAGCCTCATTTCATCCTGTAAAAGTTTGAGTATTTGGGGGCTCATTTTTTATTTTTTCCTGTTTCCATCCATTTTGGTCCAAGCTCACTGGGTTTATGCAAATATAATTCTCTTAAAAAATGTGTGGGTCTCACATGAATCTTATTGAGGTTCATTCTGTTAGGAAAAAAGCTACAACTACAAACTACCCTTTTATTCTTTGAGCTGCTTCCAAAACTACTGAGAGACAGTATCTTTAAGATTCTTAATGACCCTATAGTTTGACTGAGTGGTTCTTTTAGGCATCACCTTGGATTTTTTTAAGGTCTTTGAAAAGGGTTTTAAATTTACATTCAATGTTTTGTCTTTAGACTTTGACTTCCTAAGAATATTGAATTTTATCTTTGCCCTCACGCCATTTCTTACTGCTGAGAATCAAGGGGCAGGGCATCTTGCAAAAATGTTTATTTTAATTCCTAGAACAACCATTAAGGAAAAAATGCAAAGACAAATAGCTAAAAGGACAATAGAGAAATTGAAAAGGAATCCTAAAAATTATTTACATAATCTGAAAAAAAGGTGGGGGAGAAGGAACAGAGGAGCGAAAAACATAGAGAACAGACAAAAAAACAAATAATAAAATGGTAGACCTAAATCCATCTACAGTCACATGTCACTTAACAACAGGGATATGTCCTAGAAATACATTGTTAAGTGATTTCATCATTGTGCAAACATCATAGAGTGCATCTACACAAACCTAGATGGTACAGCCCACTACACACCTAGGCTATATGGAAGAGCCTATTGTTCCCAGGCTCCAAACCGGTACAGCATGTTACTGTACTGAATACCATAGGCAATTAGAACACAATGGTAAGTATCCGTCTCTCTAAACGTATCCAAACACAGAAAAGGTACAGTAAAAAAAATAAAATACAGTATAAAAGATAAAAAATGGTACACCTGTATAAGGCACTTACCATGAACGGAGCTTACAGCACTAGAAGTTGCTCTGGGTGAGTCAGTGAGTGGTGAGTGAATACGAAGGCCTAGGACATTACTGTACATTAATGTAGACTTTATAAACACTGTACACTTAGGCTGCACTAAATTTATAAAAAATATTTTGCTTTCCTCAATAATAAATTAACCTTAGCTTGCTGTAACTTTTTTACTTCATAAACTTTTTAATTTTTTAAAACTTTTTGGCTCTTTTGTAGTAATAAAACACAAACATTGTACAGCTATACAAAGACACTTTTTCTTTGTGTCCTTATTCTGTAAGCTGTAAGGTTTTCTCTATTTTTAAA